ATGACCACGTCAAGGCTTTATATTTTTAAACCTACCTTTAAACCCGCTATATTGATTTCTCACATACGTTAGGAGTGACGTTGTTCAACAACCACCTAAATATATATCATTTCTCAAGCAACACATAATAAATAGGCACAGTCAATCGATGACCATTCAATCAACAACAATAAACACATAGTTAAACAAGTAGAGAAATCCAACGGCTCAATTATATAAAAACATAACAAGAATTTATCTTATAAAAGGTTCTATCAAAACCTTAGATAACAAATTAGCTATTCACAATAGTATGTAAAACTACAATACTAAAAGTCACAACCAACAATGAAAAATAGGAAGAGGAAGGAAAAACTCGTAGAAGAATTCCCCGCCTTGCTCCTATTGTATCTCTGCCTCCTTATGTCGAATATGTGTCAAAAATTGGTCTCCACCCTTCAACATACCATTTTCCTTATATATATATACCAAGTAGGGCCGGGTCCAAATAATTATATCTTCTCCTACATAAAAAAGAACAAGTTTCCAGGCCTGGACGTCCGCGGCCGCGGTCCGGGCGCGGTATTTTCCCAATGTAATGCCTCAGTCCGCGTTAGGTCCGCGGTTGCAGTTTCGACCACATTTTTCACCATTTTTCGTTTGAAATTTGAAAAGACATAAAACATGAAAGTTGTAGCCTTTTGAGTTAGCTTTCCAACTATATATTGTGAAGCTCAAATGTAGTTCGGAAAAAAAGTTATGTCTATTTTACTAGACAGTGCACAATATTCCTACTCGAATCTTCGTTCGTTCTTAACTATCAACTTTGACCCCCGAACACAATCCCGTCTTAATTTTTTGGGCCTTTAATCAAATTTCAAAGCTCCAAATCACTTGAATTCACTCCATAATATATATGTAGCTCAGAATCACTCCTACAAGGCATAAACATACCATTAGTGCAAAACACTAGTGATTAAAGCTCAAACTCAATTAAAGTGCAGTAAATTAGAGTCTAATAAGTGACTAAAACACGCAATTATAGCCTATCATCAGTAGTAACCATGAATATTAATATGAGATGAAGGGAGTATTATTAATTTAGTTAATTCAGTGAATACATATTTTTTTTCTTTAGGAGTTTGTATTTCCTTAATGAATGTGCCAAAGGTAAAATAATCAATTATGGATCGGAGGGCGTAGGCTTTTATTGATATAGTTATGAATTGTTTTTTGCTTTAGATTTTACAAAACACCTTTTACCAGCTTATTTTAGCCATTAAATTGGGAGAGTTCTTTTCTAATTTTTTTTTTTTGGGGGTGGGGGAGGGGAGACTTGGTGGGCGTTTGGACATAAAAATTGTAAAATTTCAAAAAAGGGTTAAAAAATATTTCAATTGAAATTTGAAAGTTAGAGTTGTATTTAGATATAAATATAATTTTGAACTGTTTTTGAAATTTTGTGAGTGACTTGAGTGAAAATTTTGGAAAATAAATTTTTGAAGTTTTTTAAATTTTAAAAATTTTCAAAATACATTTTTAAGTGAAAATTAAATTTTTTTTGACCAAACGTTAATTTTGAAAAAAATAAAAAAATTCTTATGTCCAAATGGGATCTTGATTTTTGAAGACAGTGAAATTAGTAGCTTCTATTTTGACCTTTTACCTTCTGGACGGCCAATTTGGCTCGATATTCAAGAATGTACAACGATGTTAGTACTCCATGCAGGTGAGAGTGTACTGTATTCGTAGTTTTCAAGAAATTTGCTCATTCATTACACGTGGTTGTAGGCTGGAGCCTGCATGGATTATTGTACCTTTTGTATATGTACAAATTAAATAAATTAATGTAAGTGTACTTTAGATTTAATAACAGTAAGAAAATAAGAATTTTACAGTGTACTTCGTCGTTTCAAACTTTTAATCGAACGTATATATTTATTTACTTGTTAGTTGGCACTGGAATTTTAGAAATATCTTGGTGGCTCAAGCACATGTATTGCTTAGGGTAGACATCGGTCGGTTCGGTTCGGTTGCCAATATTATCGGTTTAGCATATCAGTTATTGATTTATAAATATGCTAAACCGATAACTGAACCGATAAGATATCGGTTATCGGCAGTGGCGGAATTAGGGGGGCGCAAGGGTGTTCACCCGAATACCATTCGCCGAAAAATTATACTGTATATATAAGACAAAATCTGTTTTTATCTCTATATATTAAGTTTTTGAACACCCTTAACACAATACAAAAGTGTAGTTTAGTGATCAAGGGTGTTTAAAATCTACATAAGGTCATGAGTTCAATTTCCATTAGGTACAATTTTTTTTTTTTGAACTCCCTTCGTGGAGATCCTGCCTACGCCACTGATTATCGGTTATCGTTTAATCGATTATCGATCATTATCGGCTCGGTTATCGTTTTACCCGATAAAATAACACAATCTAAAGGTAAGAAACATAGTATGTAGCGTACACATACTTAATTTCAATCCTTGAAGTTTGCATAGTCACATTCCAAGCATCGCCATAGTTTGGTCCGCTAACCCAAATTCACATGTTAATGGCACAAATGCAACCTCCAGTAATGGAAAATATAATTTATATATATATATATATATATATTGGAAGCCCCGTTAATGGCACAAATGCAACTTCTACTATTGGAATGAAGACATTGAAGGATGAACTGTGAAGACTTGAAGAATGAAGAGTGTGCACTGTGGCTGAGAAAAGTTCTGAGAAAACAAGAATGAACTGAAGGTCTGAAATCCTAAATAAAATCGGTTATAATTTTATTAATTTTTATTGAGTTATCGGTTAACCCATTAATAAAATCGGGTAAATTGAAGTCCAAACCGATAACCCAATAGTAAAAAAATACTAAACCGTTAACCTAATAAACCGATATCAATAATCTAATAAGTTTCTTTTCGGTATGAGTTATCGGTTTTACCCGATATATGCCCAGCTCTACCTAAAACTAAAGTTTAAGGTAAGGACAAATTTTTAAAAGAATATTATGATATATATTTTTATTTAAGGTTTAATTTTCTAGCTTTTTGGATGAAAAATTATAAATAATATTTTTAATCGATTTTCTCTAATAATTTATTTTTAATTAATAGTATAGCCAACTTAGTTAATCTTTCTTGAAATATTGTTGACCTTAGGTAAAATTTTATAAATTATAACTTTGAAAAGCTTATTTTATTTGAGACACTTATTATAGAAAAACTCTACTTTTATACTAAAAGTACTAATTTTTTAAATATCTATAAATCTATTATTTTCAAAAAATAAAATAAAAAATAGAACCCCCAAAATTTAAGGATCTAAGGCACAAGCCTTACTTGTGATAATATTAGAGCGGACCCTGATCTTATATAGCCTTGCTTGCAAACAAAAAGTAGTATACAATTTTAAAATATATATATAATGATGAAAAGTTATACTTTTAAAGAAAAAATTTCATAATTTAGAAATTTATATAAGCTAAAACTTACATGATTTTAAAAATTATATAAAATATATTATGTGACACGATGTAAAAAGATATGTCAAATATTTACGAATCTTATAAAATAGGAAAAGAAAAATTTGACGTTTTAATTTATGTCATATGTTGTTTAAGAAAATAATAAATAATTTAAAACATGTCACAGTTATTTTCGTAAATATAAAATTATGTAACTAAAAACAAAATAAGTAATTTTAATTTTTAAACTATTCTTAATTATATAAAATGTCACCCAATTCTATATTTAACGTTCTTCTTGCTTGATTCTTTTCGCCAACTTAGTCAAAGAACAAAACATCATTATATATTTATATTGAGTCAATATAAAACTCTTGCATTATTAAAATAATAAACTTATGAAAAAAGTTGTCCCCCAGCACTTAAAATCATTGGAAAATAATATAAAGCATGAATAGGTCCAAAGATTTTTAATTATATAATAAGTAATCAGATACCTTATAAACATTCTAGGAACCTTTACTAGAAATTTTTGGCGTATAATGGAAGAAAAATACCCTACTTTAATATATTATAATTAAACCAAGGATACTGCCAATATTTGGACGCAATTGCTTTTATTTTTTTTGGTGCTTTGTTCTGTTCAAATGCAACATCGCTGAGTTGTTTACCAACTTAATCACAAATTAATATTACTAATTAAAAAAGATTATGTTGTCCCCAATATAATATACACTGTCCTACAAAGAATCCATTAAACATTAGGGTAACGACCCACAATAATCTGCCGCACGCGTTAGTAAATCAAATTAAGGTTGACATGTCAGAGACATTAATTGTGTGTATTTTGGCTAATCTAATTCAAAACGGTAATTAGATGTGTTAAAACCAGCCCTAGATCCGCCACTAGAGAGCTTTGAGCTATACGAGAGAAGCTCTGGTGAGTAACAGTGAAGAAGGTTCTAGAGAGAAAAGGAAATTCTCAGAAATTGTAATATTAGAATCTGTACAAAAATGAGTATATGTAAACTAATATATCACACTAACTAACAACTGCATATACACACATGCTACCTAATCACGTGGGCTATCTAGAAGAGTACACCTTAAATAGCTAATTGTACAACAGTATCAACTACTTATCTCTACACTCCCCCTCAAGTTGAGAATGACACATGTTTTTCATTTCCAACTTGGATACTAGAGCTACATGTTAACGAAGTTGCCCAATGCTTTTCTCAAAATATCAGTTGGTTGCTCCGAAGTGGCTATGGATGCAGTCCTTATCAACCATTCTTGTATCTTCTCTCTGATGAAATGAAAATCAATGTCAATATGTTTTGTTCTCTAATGGTATATGGGATTTGCAGCAATCTGCAGAGCAGCTTTGGTGTTACAGTACAATTCCATGGGCGACTTGACATTCACTCCTAGCTCTTTCATCAACCTATTCAGCCATATTAGCTCAGCTACAGTTTGTGCCATGCTTCTATATTCTGCTTCGGCTGGATATGGTGCTTTGTTTCTTGACTTTCCATGAGATTAATGAGATTCCCAGTTTAACACAAAAATATGTAATTCATTGAATGTTTCTATCTTTTCTTGATCTCTGCTTGACATTAACAACCCGAGACCTGGTTGTTTCTTTATGTACTTCACTATATGCAAAGCTGCTTCATAGTGAGATGTCTTTGGTGCATGCATGAATTGACTCAGATATTGCACTGCATATGCAATGTCTGACCTAGTTATGGTCAAATATAATAACTTGCCAATGAGTCTCTGAAAGCTGTTTTTGTCCTTTAATGGCTCATGAGTAACAATTCTCTGCACATACTCATCATATTTTATACTTGTTAACTTCAGGTTTTGTTCCATAGGGGTGTCCTTAGGCTTTGAACCTGATAGTCCTGCTTCTGATATCATTTATAGAGCATACTTCCTCTAAGATATTAGGATGCCTTCTTTAGACATGGAAAATTCCATTCCTAGAAAGTACCTATGCTCTCCAAGATCTTTCAATTTGAAGCTTTTATGTAGGTCACTTTTAACTTGATGTATCTCTTCCAATTCATTACCTGTGACAAGTAAGTCATCTACATAGACAAGAATGAGCACAAACTTGTTAGTAGTCTTAGTGAATAAGGAATAACCATGTCTGCTCCGCTGAGAACTAGAGGATACCAAAGCTTGTGTCAGTTTCACATTCCATTATCTGGAGACCTGTTTCAAACCATATAAAGATTTGAGTAGTCTGCACACCTTATGCTCCCCCTGACAACCAAATCCCTGAGGAAGAGTTATGTAAACCACCTCGGCAAGATCACCATTCAGAAAAGCATTATGGACATCCATTTGATACACATGTCAGTGCCTAAGGGCAGTAATGATTATAACAGTCCTCACTGTGGTCATTTTGGCCATATGGGAAAAAGTATCATGGAAGTCAGTGCCTTCCTGTTGTGTATACCCCTTAGCAACTAGTCTAGCTTTGAACTTTTTCACATAGCCATCAATATTATACTTGATTTTGTAGACCCATTTACAACCTATGGGCACCTTACCGGGAGGTAAATCAACCACACCCCAAGTATGATTTTGTTCTAAAGTTTCAATCTTAAGGTTCATAGCCTTAATCCACCTATCATCTTTAATGGCTTGAGAATAAGAAGTATGTTTAGTACTAACAGAGAAAGAAGCAAGAAAGGATTGAAAATGAGCAGGAAGATGAGAGTAGGAAGCAAAGCGATGAATAAGATAAAGACAGGAATTAGAAGCTAAAGGTAAAGGAAGGTGAATATAATCAGTCAGCCAAATGTAAGGCTTAAGTGTTCTACCAGATTTTCTAGATAGCAAAGAATCAGTAGGTGGATCAGATGGACCAGGTGTAATAGCAGAAGAAGGAGAAGAAATAGGATTAGAAGGTGGAGCAGGTGAACTAATAGATGGAGACTGAGTGATAGGATCAGTGGGAGGGGAGATAATGTCCTTGGGAATGAAATTATGGTCAGTTGTAGGAGATGGTAGAGGATCAAAAATGCGAAAAAAGTAAGAAGAAGTAGAAAATGAATCAGGAGCAGCAAGGAATTTACTCATGGGATGTTGAAGGGATAAACATTCTCTTTAAAGATAACATCCCTGCTAACTATGAATTTGTTGGCTTCAATATTATAGACTCTATACCCCTTTTGAGCAGTAGCATAACCCATAAAGACACTAGGGACAAATTTAGGAGTGAATTTGTTATGAAAATCTGGTTTTATGGCATAACAAAGACATCATAGAGTTCTGATGTGAGAATAAATAGGGGGCCTACCATGAAAGATCTCATTTGGTGATTTTCTATGTAGGACATCACTTGGTAATCTATTAAATATATAGGTGGCAGCAAGAATACAATCCCACCAGAACCTCAAGGGTATGTTAGCCTGAAATCTTAAAGGCTCTTCCTACCTTTATGATATATCTGTGTTTCCTCTCCACAACACCATTTTGTTGTGGTGTGTGGACACAATTACTTCAATGAATGATCTCCTTCACTTCTAAAAGATTAGAATAAAGGGTATTTAAAAACTCATGACTGTTATCTGATCTAAAAATTTTAACAGTGGTTGAGAATTGATTTTCTACAAGGAGTAGGAATTCAGTTAAAATAACATACACATCACCTTTTAACCTCAAAAGAAAAGTCCAAGTCATTCTTGAATAGTCATCAACAAGAGTAAGAAAGTACTTGAATCCATTGTAAGTACATACTCTATATGGACCCCATACATTTATATGTACAAGTTCAAAGACACAATTAGACTTGAAAGTACTAACAAGTAAAAATAACCTAGTTTGTTTGGCTAGTGGACATACATGATAATAAAAAGTAGAAATACATGACAATTGTTTATTTAGAGCAGGAATTTTTTGTAAGACTGTAAGAGGTGCATGACCCAGCCTTGGATGCCATAATGCACTTGAATTAGATTGAACTGAAGCAGACACTCAATTAGAAGTAGAAGTAGTAACATGTGTTGAGGGCTTGAGGACTTGAGGATGTAAAGACCACCTTTGAGCTTACCAATCTCCTTCACAATGCCACTATAGAGGTCCTGAAAGACACAAAAATTAGGATAGAAATGGACTGGGCTATTCAACTCTTTTGTAAATCTAGAAACAGAGAGTAGATTAAACTGAAGTTCAGGGGCATAAAGAACATCATAAAGAACTTCTGAATTAGGCAAAGTACATGGTCCAATATGGGTAACTTTAGCACTATTTCCATTAGGTAAATACACAAAGGGTGATTTAAGTTCAGGTACAAGATATACTGATGATAATAGATGCAAGGCTACAACAATATGATTGGAAGCCCCAATGTCAATAATCTAAGGACTTTGGTTAGTGGTAAATTTACCTGCCATGTTGACTAAGGCATCAGGACCCTTCTCCTTGTTCAGTAGCTTGAGAATCTGTTGGTATTGTTCAATAGTGAAAGGCTGAACAGTTGGAACAATATTCTTATGTATACCAGGATGGACTTCCTCCACAACAGTCACATTATGTGCCACAACTATTGGTTATTCATATGCCACTCTTCTCTTATTGGTGAACTTGAATCCAGGTGGATATCCAATTAATTTATAGCAGCCTTCCCTCGTATGACCCTTCATTTTGCAGTAGTCACAGTACAACCCAGTGTCACACCTCCTTTTTCACATACACCCCGCTAAGGGACATAAAGGGAGTTTTTCCAATTAAAGGACAATCGAAACGAGATTTTATTTAAAGGTTCAGAGTCGCCACTTGAGAGATTTGTGGTGTCCCAAGTCACCGGTTGAATCCTGAATCGAGGAAAAGAATGACTCTGTTTAACAGTCGGCGCACCAGAAATCCGGATAAGGAATTCTGTTAACCCGAGAGAAGGTGTTAGGCATTTCCGAGTTCCGTGGTTCTAGCACGGTCGCTCAACTATCACATTCGGCTTGATTATCTGATTTTATACAATTATGAACTTACGTGCAAATTTTAACTGTTTACCGCTTTTATTATTATTTATTCAAAGAATTACAACGTCGTGAGAATGTATCTCGAATTGCGCCATATAAATGTACCCGCAATTTTCGATACGTTCCAACTTCGTTGAGATTTGGATTTGGGTCACATAAATGTGCACCCGAGTTTAGGAAGATAACATTATTAAATACGCGCCTAAAGATACTAACACGTTGTTATTTTGAGAAAATCCGTAAAGTTTTCTATGCGACCTATCTCGAAATCTAAGCATTTGAAATAACTCTCCATTGAGGGCCCCGCAATTTGTGTATTCTTGTTTGTCGAGGCTCGTCTCATTCATTCATTATTTTTTTAAAAAAGTAATTTGCAACGTCATGGAAATGCATCTTGAACCACGTCACAATCAATGTACCCGTGATTAACGACACATTTTGACTTCGTTGAGATTTGGATGTGGGTCACATAAATGTGCACCCAAGTTTAAGAAAGTAAATTATTAAAAGTACGCGCCTAACAATGACTAACGCGTTATTACTTTTGGGAAAAAGGCCATGAAATTCGCTAAGCGGCCGATACCGAGTTCTAAGTATTTAATATATATACAATCGTGAGGGCCCCACAATCGGTGAGTTTTACTAGGCGAGGCTCATCTCGTTTATTTTGAAAGGACAATCCTAAAGTGAGTACATTTTCTATTAAGTTCGTCTCTAAAATAAAAGAAGAAAAGTACCTAATTTATTTACATTCTTGCGGGTTATTATAGCTAAGTTTCGAATACGATTCGTTAATTCTGAAAATGATGCAATAAGGGCGATCTGTTTGCCATCTATGGGCCCAGGTCCAACTTATATGGGGTAAAACTTGGACCTGGGCCATCCTTAATCCAATAGGGCCTAGTTAATGGTTTCTGCACATATTCATAGCTTGCAAAAATGGTGTCATTTTGTTAACAGATTTCTGCAAATTTAAAGTGGCTTTCTACTGGAATGAAAGAACTTGGAAATCTATTTTTTTTCTAAACCATTTACATGCATGAAATTAACCAATGGTATCTAATTAAATAATGTTCCTACAAGTTTAAGAAACAAGTCATTTGTTCCATGAGATAACTATTGAATGTTTAAGAATAATCTAAATGGCCTAACATGCTTTTGATATATAATATTTAACAAATAATACTGAAGTAACAGAACATGAATTACGATACCATCAGTTCTTCTAACTAAGCATACATGGGCAGTTTTCCCACTAAACTACTACAAAAGGCATGTCCAGTTATACATAAACAAACACCTACATGATTCTAATGAAAGAGGTATTCTAATGTGTATACAAATAAGTAGACAACTACAATGAATTTAAAACTTCAACTCTTCATTTCTTTGTATTCATGCTTCAAGTTTCAGCCTACAAAAACCAGTGTATCAAATTTGTGTACCTGGTATTTGGAAAGCAAAGAGAAGAAGAGGAAGATCAATGCAGAAAAACAGCAATAGCATACACAGCAACATAGTAGTACAACAACAACCAGTAAACCAGTAGCCAACAATAGCAGAAATCCAAAATGAAACACAGACAGATGCAAGGAAACAACAATTTCTGATTTGTCAAGCACTCAAGAAAGCAACCTGAAACTCTTAATGTGAAAGTTCAGCCTTAACACTCTATCTCTCTCTGGACTCTTCTCTCAAAAATCCATCCTTAACACTTAAACTATTTTTCTGAACCTTTTAGAATTCAACTTTTCTTCCAGTTTCGTATTTAGTTTTTTTTTCTTTCCTCTTTAGTTCTGAAATTTCTCCTAATTTTCAGCTCACCCCTTCTGAATTGTCCCATCTTCCCTTTTTATACAACCTGCCCCCCTTTCAAACATACTGCCCGACCCTTTTCCTTATTCAAATCAGAATTTTCCACTAAAATCTGATTTTTTTCACTTTAAATCCCACTAAGGAAGCTTTTCCTTATTTTCAGCCATCCATTCCCTTTTGTTTCCCATTAGTGTATTAGTTAATACCCCACTAATAAAACACTAACATTAACAAATTATTCCTACTGTTTCATTCCCAAATTAACCCTGAAACCCCTTAATATTACTGCCTCCTAATACAACCATTCAACTGTATTAAAATCTTAATTCTGAAATCTGTTTAACTATCAATTAACCAAAACTGATGTGATCACAGCTATAACCAATTCAGCTAGTACTTTAAGGCAGAAAATGCATCAAATATAAAGGTTTTAGTGATTTAGAACAAAGCTTATAATCAAACAGTATTTTAACTAATCGGACAACTTAACAATTGAAAACTATAAACAACAGAATGCCAAAATGATTCAAACTATATGAACAA